ATTTGATTAATATGTGATTTTATAGAAGTTTTGATTGTTTCATAATATAAAGTATTGATCATAATTAATGAACCATATTCATCTTCCATAAATATTCAAATTATAATAAATAAACTCCAATCATTTCCATAAATATCTCAATTTATTGGGTTGCATTGGTTGTACAAACACTATGAAAATATTTGAAACAATCTCTCTCTATATATAATTTGTGTGTGTACGAGAGCTATTATGCTGAAATTGTCGTTCGCATTGGTTTTCTCATGATCTATCCGAGATGCATTGTGCCCAGTAAGCCAAGGGTAACATATACACGTCTATGATGGTCACATTTGGGTGCTCCTCATCCTCAAGATCAACCCAATATGCACCATTACCAAAATCACAGCACTCTTATGACATGAATCTATTTGTTCAATCCACTCTACATTCGCTACTTGTGTTTCATCACAAAGACTCGGTTAATATGCAGAACGACCGAGGAAAGAATACAAGTTCTACACATCTACTATATTGTTTGTCGAGATACTACTTCTACTCGCTCGATCAAAACTGGTTTTCGAGATTTCCCATAAAATGCTGCTCCATCATATTCTGAGCAATGAGTCTAAACCTCAAATGGTAGTCATATATGAATATCATACGGTAGCCGAATCTGGCTCTATCGTTGATCGCAGTCCTTTGCGCATCATCATCTGGGCATAAAACTCCGCGTGTTCCTGTTCACGACACAAAACGAGACTTAAAGTAGTTGCTACTTCCTTCCAAGTTCTTTTAAACCAGCAACAATAACATAAACTTATAACCAATAAACAAGTCTAAAAGAGATCTTAAAGTCTTCTTTTAGACCAGCAACAATAACATAAACTTATAACCAATAAACAAGTCTAAAAGAGATCTTAAAGTCGAAAATCTATCTTCATGGGATAAAAGAAAGCTTGTTCTAGTTCACGAGGGTACGGCCAATTACAATATGTCGTAAGGCCTACAAATCACCACTCAGTACTATATATTGGATAAGGGGGCATATTCCCCTTTTCCACCGTACATGTAACCAAAGCAAATAGTAAGAATACCTTGACTGCGACCACAACAACTGCCACACCATTTTCTTGTGAGACTTGGAAGAGTCTTCTTGCATCATCGGCTGTAACAGCTGGAACAGCCTGAGGCAATGCTTTTACAACTACATACACAAACAATTACTTGCCATGAAGGTTCAAAGGAGTTCTCAAATATACCATATTAGTTGTGCAACTATACTACCACTTATCCACCCAATCAAAGCCGAATATGCATTTGTATTCTAGACAAGTGGTGCAAAATTTCAGAAGAATCCTTACCATATTCGAAGATGGAAGTAGTGGGATTGACCCTCAAAATTGGAGACATACTCTGCCATTTGGAAGAATGGCATCTCCTGTGACCGACATGATCACAACATTAAGCGTTTGGTGTGCAGACCGGACTGGACGTGCAAGAGTGAGGTAGGTGGGTGAAACAATTCTTGAAGGTTTCAGGGTTTTACTTTGACATGGGTAAATTAATAATTTACCAATCTTGTCTTATCTCGTTGCTTTTTTGTTTTTGGTGGGACAAAAAGTGCATTGTTTACCCACTCGGTTCCATCCTGTTCCAATCTAATGTCATGCCAAACATGGGACGGCAATTTTTTCCCACGTACCAAACACATCATGAACTCGAGAAGTTTCTTATACGTAAAGACTAGGCTCATAGAAAGTAAAGCTTAAAGGAAAGTAAAAAAACACATCATGAACTCGAGAAGTTTCTTATATGTAAAGACTAGGCTCATAGAAAGTAAAGCTAAAAGGAAAGTAAAAAAACATTAGAAGTCCATGGTTACAAGCTTGTATCATAATTACCTAGCTCCTCAGTATGACGGGCATCATCAATCAAAAGCACTCGGTAACTGTCTCCACTACCAGTGTGTTTCTTGTCTCTCACCCGGCCAATATCTCCACCTACATGTGAAACTAATCATCAACATACAGCTTCATATCTACGGACCATAAGGTTCCAAATTAGATAAAAAAACACATATCCAATCTCCTTATCATAAAGGTACAAGTTTATTACAGCCCCTTATAAGTTTCTTTCTGAAGATTTGCATATGGTGTTACCTTCTGGTTCACTTTAGCAATTAACCCTAGTAAGATTATGCTGTATTAGCTTTTATGTTAGTAAATCAAATCACTGAAATTCATACATGATATTGAGATAAAATAGTCAAAACCAAACAAACTAGAAATTATAAATATATTTTACAAATCCTGTAACATTAAAATCATGAAGCCATCACGCAGTTGGTAAATTGTGTGTTAAACAGGTTACTCTTGACATTACACTTGGAATTGATTTGCAATTTATTCGGCAAAACCTGAAAACGGAATTTAGAATTTGCAACTTCGTCTTGAAATCTAGTTCGTTTCTTTCTCAAGAACTCACTCCGCTACCTTTACGTCAATGTTGCAGTAAATAAACGCTAGGTCGGCATATAAACAAGATCGATTAAATTGAAAGAAATGATACCTTCTTGAACTTGTGTAGCAGGGTCGAACTGAGATTGATCAAAAGAAGGCCGTTCTAACACGCCAGCTCCTCCCCTTGAAGTTGAAGATCCAAACATAGCTTTGGAGGAGCCATTTGAATTTGAAATCGAAACCGAAGAAGAAGACGCTCTAATCGTAAAGGAAACAGTAGGAGATATTGGAGTTCGTGAGGGATGTATGTCGGTTGTTAGAAGGAAAGTCGAAGACGTATTCAGTAGCGCCATAGATTTCGTCTGATTACAGCGCCAGGGAAATCGAAAAGAAAATCTAGATGAGATGGTTACGGAGGATTTGGTGATTGGTAGCCTTTTAAAGAAAAAGAGTAAAATACGATTTTAATCCTTGTAGTTTGTAATTTATAACTATTATGGTCCCTGGTCTTTAAATTCTCCAAGTTTAAAGCAAAGACTGAAATTCTCAAACAAAACACATGCAATAAATCAAACTTATGCATACTAAAATTTCACCCAGAAAACGATATGAAATAAAATTCCAACGAAATTCACATGTAATAAAGTAAACTCATTTTCTTTCAAAACTTGACCCAACTCTCTCGCATGCCTTAATTTACCTCTCAAAATCGATAACAAAATGTGTGCACACGTTTTGAGTAAAAAATGGAACTTGATTTAACTGAATTAGCAACTTTATTTTAACGGTGTTAGTCAGAGGGACCATGACCAAAACAAATTGAATACTATAGGAACCAAAACCATAACAACCATACCATAGGACCTTAGTCAGAAAAAATATCAAAATAGATTTTGTCCCATCAGCTCTAAACAATCTTGTTTTTTTTAACATGAAAAATAAAGAAGCCATTGCGATTGCTGGAAAAACTAGGCCTATTAAAGACATCAAAACAGAGGGAAAGTTAAAAGTTGTACCTTTTATTATTATTTATATTTATTATTTATAATATAAAGATATTTTATTAATAAACGGGTTTTTAACCTATGTGTGAACAATTGATTTTAATATGACATTTTTCCACGTAAATAATAAATTGATATTTTACGTCTATCAATAATTACAAGATCTATTGATTATCAATAAAAAATAATACACATATTTTATCGCTATAATTAATACAATTTTATTAATGACGTTAACAAGTTTGAGCCACATGTTAGTTATTGTGGCTTGTAATATTTATGGCACCATATCTTTTATTTGGGTGGTTTACTACGACTACGTTGTCGTTTTACTTTTTGGGTTTACGTGGTTTTCACATACACCACTTCAAATGTTTGTTTGATTCGTAAGATAGTCGTAGTCGGTTAATTTTTTATAAAATAGATATAATTGATGTTTAATTACAGACGATTGCTATAACAAACAAGTGAGAATTGGACTGTCTGTCCAATTCATGACGTGGGTGATTCATCGAATAATGTGTATAAGAGGTTTGTACGTTTTTCAACCGAAAGCAAGAGCTCCAACCCTAACAGTAAGCAAATTAGAGAGTCAATGACTGATTAAGTGACCGACTGGTCTAAGAGCCAATAATCAGATGAATTACAATTGGTTAATTAGTGGTTTGGCAGCAAATGACCAAACAGGTCAAACAAGACCTAATTTTAAGGTTTCATTTCACCGGTTTAAAAGGTTTGGGTCAATTATGGGGTTTAAACTAAAAAAATCATAATATATATTTCCAAAGTGAAATTTCTTCCAATATAATATTATTAAAAAAATATATTATACCAAATTATAAAAAGAATAATTATCTCCAAAATAAAAAAGCTAAACAAATTCACGAACAATAGTTGGAATTTTTTTGGACATGAAATTTTACATTTTGATTTGATGATCATCGAGTTTTGCCGATTTAAAGAACGCAAACAATTGAGAAGTGAATATTAAAAACTTCACACCCCGGATCAACTTTTCTAAATTGACCCATAAAAGTTGAACCTACAACACAACACAAAAACTAAGTATAATTAATATATGTGTATTTTGACGGTTGGTTCGGTCCAAACCGCTCAAAAAGAAGTTCAAACCGTGGACCGGACCAGACTGTCAGACCGCTCAAACTGCGAAAAACAGTTCTTCAGTTTTCTCAACTTCTCCCTTAATGAAATAAATAACATCTTAACTTATTTTCTGTCTCTGTGGACCGAGGCGAAAGGAGGCTCCACGACATCCGAGCATAATTTAGTTTCTTGATTCTTGAATATACATAATAAAGAGCATATTAAACATGATCCAAAACTCGATCAACTTCATACCATAAACAAGTGTACAACATACAACCATCAAACACTTCACATATGAATCAAATATACACGACAAAACCCCGATCACAGTCAACACAAGAAGCCTATCCCGACAAAAACCTTTGTATAACCAGTTATTTATCGAACACAAAACCAAAGATACCCAGTATATCCCACACAGAGGTAGAGTGTGTTTGCAGTGACTAAAAGAACAAAGAGATGTATTGACAGAGTTTAATACCCTCTGGGGTCTCTCCCTTTTCTCGAGAACCTGATCTATGATCCGTAGACAGTGATTGACTGTATCCACCCGACACGCATAAAAGGATTAATCAGGCAGTCGGGTCAAACTTCACTTGCTCTCCGATAGCAAAATTAGTAACTCGTCATCAGTAATAGCCCCCATCTCCATGGCTCTTTCTAGAGCACCCTGCCCGCCACCGTCTTTTATAGATGCAACCGCCCCTCTGAAAAAAGACAGGCATTACTTAGCTAACAGGAGTATGGCCATTTGAGGTTGTTCCATGATAAGCTTTTAATGAGCGTTACTCGCAGGACCAATGTAACCGCTGTCTAGAAACTAATGTGCCATTCTTCAAACGGATGGTGAAACAAACCAAAGGGTCTTTGGCCCAGCATTACACGGGTTACAGATAGAACCCAGCTTTTATAGAGGTTATGGTTTCAAGTCTCACCGAAGGTGAGGAATGTTTGTCAGTTTTGCCGTATGTATAAATATATTACATACTTCCAAACGGATGGTAAAACAAGTAGCGGATGTTACCTTCTGAGCATATACTTTGCCAATTTGTTATTACCGGAGCAGATACAATGGTGAAGCGGTGTCCGACCATGGCTGTCGGACCTGTTTATATCAGCACCAAATTGTAGCAATAGTTCAAGCATCACTTGATAGCCAGAGTTGCATGCTAGATGCAACAATGTACAGCCTTCAAGACAACTTTCAGGCTTGCTATAATCCGTAATCTTTTTACACGAGAATGGATCCGTTTTTTCGGCAGAAACAGAATCTTTTGACGAATCATGCTCATGAACATTGTGAAACAAATCGGCACCAGCCACCTCATCATATGTGGTGTTGACAATATTGGCATTTGAAGTAGCAATTAGTCGATATACCTCCCGTATATTGTTACTCTTGACTGCTCCCCAGATTCTGGTGGCATATGAAGGGTTACTAGCGCTCATTTCTTCATGACAGACTAGCCGTTTCTCCACATACTGGATTAAACCAATCATGATTTCACATTTCATTGACGGGATTTATGGCATAATGAATCTTGAAACATAAGAGTACGACAAAAAACTACTTCAAGCAGTTCAAGAACATATATATACCTTTGCTATGATATACTTCTCCCTCTGTTGAATTGCATCTCTAGGATTAGGCTTGTTAACTGCAAGAGGATCTGATCCATCCTCACTACATATTTATTTCATATAGTTGAGGTTAGTGAGATGATTAATCATTTAATTAATATCTATATCAAAATACTTTATGTAAGGAGGTTCATTTAGGAACCTCAAATATTTTAGGAACCACCCTTTTTTATGAGTATTCATGATGAATAACATGATAAAATGTTCATGATGAATGTTGTGACAGGTATTCACAATGAATAATATTCATCATGAATACTTGCAGAATAGGTCTCTAAATGAATCTTCCCCTACTTTATATGGATAATACATCCCAAGAGAAAAGTTTCAGTTGCAAACTGATCTTAGGTTGTGAACCGGGGGACAAAGAAGAAGAGGACACATGTCTACGGGTGTCCACATTCACCATGAATAATGAAGGTGAACATTCATGAACTATTCCTGATGAACGATGCACCATTTATGATAAATTGATACACCATTCATGATTTGATACATGATTCATGATGAATAACCCATGAATGTATGGGACACATGGCACGCTCTCCTTTGTCCCCCGGTTCACAACCTAAAACTTGTTTGAAACCGAATCCCCCCCCCCCCCTTACATCCCAATATGACCAAATGAACCCAGCATATCTCACTTAGAGATAGGGTTTGGAGGGTTGGATGCGTAGGATGTACGCAAGCCTGTCCTCCACCCCAAAGATGAAAACGACTATTTCCATGAAGACCCTAGGACCCTCAGTTGGTGAAAAGGTGTGCGCGAAAACGTGAAAACAATTTTCGCATTAAAGGAATGATTTGTGACATAATAAAAGATGCGCATTCCCTTCGACATACCCACCTATTACTTTGAAGTAGATTCTCCCATATGGAATTGCAGTATGTATTACCCAAATTCCCAAACAAATCCATAACAGTAGGTTCCCAAACCTTCACATCTAGATTTATTGATCTCACCTACAGTGGTAACAATAGAATCATATTAGTTACACATCACGATGAATAATCTGAAATACGTTGATTAGGCATTCTCTCTAGGGATTATATAAGAACGGGATTTTTGTGCGTTACAGAAAGGGACCTTTGATATGTGAACCCCTAGATTCCGGTGTACAGCAGAGCATTCAATGCACATTAATATGCCAAGATTAAGTGATGCCCAATCAGGTTCAGGTGCACTGCATTCTGCACAAAGATCGTTTCCGGGAATCTCTCGAAGAATGGTAGAAACAGAATCTGCCAGATTGATATGCATATCATCCGCTGTAGATCCCTTGTTATCGACTCGTGAAACAGCGGAACTATCACCAACTGTTTCACTGTTATTACCCATATTACTTCTGTCGAAATGTGTCTGTAGAAATTACAAAAATATAAGCTTTATGCTTATCAACCCACAGAAAGTGATGACTTATTAAAATTTCAAAGAGTTCAACCTGCCTAAGGTGGGTGTTCAAGAGCGAGGCAATCACTCCTGTGATCTTGTTCATCCAGTCAATCCTATCAGCTTCATTTTCAGCCTGCCCAAACCACGTAAAGAAAACGACCGCATTAAATTAGCATAACTTTCCATAATTATCCTACGGCACATAATACACCCATTTTAAAGTTGCCGATTTGACCAGTCTCACCTGAAGTGTGTATGTTTTCAAGGGCGAAATTATCCTGAAGCACAGACGCAAATCTGAATCCTCAGCATCGAGTTTTATTGTTGAAGTACGAAGATCAACAGTATGACAGCCCAAGTCTTCATCATCATTCGACGCTGCCCTGCTATGCCTTGACCGGAACCTCCCGAATACACGACTATGGTGTTCAACATTAGCAATTGAATTGTATGATTGTGTACCCTAGAATAAGATTTAGCAGGATTACAGGATGAAAAAAGTAAGTTGTCGCAATTTCTAAGCGGAATGGGCAGGGTATTTAAGAATTATTGTCATAATAAGACTAAAATATGCATAAAACTACACTTTAGCCTACCGCAGGTTTGTTGGGCAAAATCCGATGATAATACAAGTTCCCCCGGCTATCAAGTACAAAGAATCGTCTCTTCCAATCTGCTCTCAAACTTGAAGATCGTTTTAGAAGATACCCTTGCTTGATGGTCTGGACCTGGAACAAATATGAACACGTTACTATCAACTAGCAAATGGTACTTAATGCATCAATAACTGCAAGAACACATGCAAAGGATGCATGCAAGACCAAAAACTTACCAGCCCTTTTGCAGTGGACTGCATTATTGCTTCTATATTCTTATCAGAACTCATTCCGACACCATTTGCACTAACATAAGTTGTAGTGGTCCCGAAATTACTAGGCACTGGTTCTGTCATCTCCGCTTGTGTCCTAAATTCCTGAATTCTCTTTGCAAGTCTATCTTGTTCAATACTAGCTTGTTCCTTCGATTGTTGGGCATATGTCAACACCTGAAATCAAGATCAGCAAAATGTATTTAAATTTTTAATTGCTTTGAAACAAACCAACAATATGGTAATTCAGATTTCTGTTTTGGAATTCTTTTGTTTGGATATTTCCTAAAAGAAGAGGATCAACACAGATGTTTCATTAGTGTGTTTGATATGTGAAAAAGAACAAGAAAATAGGGAAAATATGAAGTATACCTGATGAATGAAAGGCTCCATTTGACTCAACAGTTCATATCCCTAGAAAGTCAAAACAGCATGGTTAGTACAAAGTCTGCATACCGTTTACAAGATAATGTTCGAAGTTTCCAAACAACGTACCTGCTTAAAATATCTCAAATGGGCATCCATTATTGCACTAAGAGATTCCAAAAACGTGTACTTCTTTTTCGCTTCTATATTCATGAGAGAATTTACCTGCATTCCTTAAAAAACACCAAGGGAAATATCTTAAACCTTAAAAATGAAATATATTTAACAAATGAACATAATAAAAAGGACTGCATATTTATTAGACATACTAGATTGAATCTGCTCCTCTCAAATGTTGATTTTGAGTTCTGCAGGTCCTGCAAAAAAGGAGAAAAAAATAAGCTTCTGCACATGAAATATATACAGCCAACCGAAAGTACTAGCTATAATTTCATGATTACATCTATATATTGGCTGGTTAATCTTAAAATAAGGTATTATGGTTTCATAACAAAGACGATAGTTCTCAAGTTGTACAACGATATGATTTGATTCATGAAGCACAAGATGTGAACCTGCTTACGTCCGGTTCACCACTATATTGGCAAAAAATCACATTGTCTCAACAAACCCGATCAATTAGATGATTCTAAAAATCCTACCCTAGATTGCTTACCTTATTTCTATGCTTTTGTGGATTTGTTTTCGGAGTTTATTGACCCAATGATTCCAAATGATTAGCCACATGGATAAAAGGCCTGTATGCTTGTATTTACTATTTAGTGAAGTCATAACTCATAACATAAAAGACAATGTTCTCATGATCAATGTAAGTATATTTTAAAACATGCATCACTAATGTACAACTTTTGTGCTTATATTTAGATATGATATATTATTTATCTTAGAAGATTTTGAAGCGAGACTATGATTCAACTCAACCTGTAATTCATGATTAATTAAATTAATATAGTGATCCTCGATTAATTAAATTTGTATACCTGGTGAGCAACTTGATAAAGAGCCAGAATTCACAACAGGACATACCATACCTCCTCTAATTCAGAAACTACTTCATCCCGTGTACTCTTTTTCAAAGATGCAACCTTCTCACGAGCCTGCATGAAGAAAATCAATATGTTTTAACCTCTATAAGTAGGGAAACCGAATGTTCAATTGCAGCAACTAATAAGGACAACATTACATAAATGATCGATAAGCTCAATAAGAAATTTTCCGTTCACAAACGAATTGTATCGGGATAATTTTTTTTTACCTCTAGGGTATCATGACCAAAAGAAGCCCCAACCACTTGTACAAGCCAAATTGGGTTGTATTTGGAATAAAGTATTGCAATATGAGGTGCTTTTAAGCTATGTGAAGGGTTCATATAAAATGTCTTTGAATTCTTGTCTCGAGTTCGCCAGAGCTGAAGTCTTGAACTAAATCCTTCCAATCTCGAGCCTTGGACCAACCATTAAGGTTCCTACTTTGTGATGATTAGACCACAGGTTGGGGTCACAAACATTACGTTAGCAAAATACAAGGGAAATGCAATGCACAAAGACTTCCTTACCAAGCCTTGGCAAAGCCGATAAGCTTTGTGTTAACTTCATATTCTCCCATAAGCCATACTACTATTTCCTCAAAAGAGGTCCCTACTCCCTCATAATCTGTAATTAAATACTCATCATAGTTCTCACAGTTTTGAACAAGAAAAGGATCGCCAAAAGTCCTTCAGTCATGTATATTGATTTTCCCAAGATGGTATGGAAATCCACCATCGTTTCCAAAAGCACACAGCTCTAGCCTCATTTCGACAATGAAACTGTCAAAGTATTAACTTTATTTCTTTTAGATATTGAGAGGCCATTTTCTTTCTTATAGCAATGAATGTATCTATGGCACTTTTTCTACATCCCATTTACTTTTTCAGTAGCACGGCATGAGATAAAGAGTGGCTAATGGTTAAAGCACAGTTCGAAAGGCAGAAGCAATGTTCCAGATGGCCAATGTCAGGAGGAATTGACTTTTCAAAGTTCAGAATAAAATATGATGTGTGAAAAAATCCAAAAAAGAATGTTGAGAGGTTAATTGTTATTGTTGTTCAAAAAATCCTAAAAATTCTAGATTGAATTCCAAGAAGAGCATACGAGTAATAAATTAACCAGATCTTTTTGGCAACCGAGAAAACAGTAGATTTGAATGGAGAAAAAAATAAATTGAGATTTGATCCTAACTATATCAATATCTGAGACCAAATACTTAGACTGAGAGGGAAGTTTGAGAATCAAGACAAAAAATAGAAGTAGAGTAGAGTTTGGAGGAGAAACAAGAATAAGGGAGGAACATATTCAAGAGACAGTAGATACAAAAGGATTTACCTAAACTGAAGATCAAACAGGAAGAAAGTAATAAGAATTAAAAGCAAACATAGATATAGGATTGTCGCTTTGAACCATCAACATCTGAGACAATCTCATGATTCTGAATCAATTGTGATGAAAGGATTGAGATATTAGGTTTCAACATAGAGATTCAAGGTCGAGACCAGAGATTTAGAAGAGAGCTATGGAATTAATTTCCTACTTATCCCATATTCTCCAATTAAAGTCTGCCCTATTTGTAATCTTAGCCCACTAAGTCCACTAACAGAGTTACCAGAAAACTAACAGAAGAGAAGAGGTAACTACATCCCACAATCGATAGCACCCAATATTGCTTCTTAACCCTACCCACAAACAATAGTCTTTCATCCTCTCTCACACATTCAAGTAATTCAAGACACTATACCACTCCAAGATACCCAACCATGTGTATGATAGAATAAACCTTGTGTCACAAATTTTGCTGACTCATACAATCTCTGCTCTAAAATAAACTTTCACCACCATTTCAACCAATACAACACACACCTGGCTCTAACGGATTATTAACTGTATGGATACCTCCAATATCCAAAATCCTGCAAAATATCAACTAAACAAGGGAAATATAGCAACATACTCATCTTTCTACCATCACACAGTTGTGAAACATTCTTATTCCGGCTATTAAATTTACAATTTTGTAACTGTGTCCATATACCTCGAGAAAGGTTCATATACCTTGAAGAAGATGTTTTTCATTGATTTGTGCAATTGCACTCAATGAGGGAGGTTCAAGGGAAAACCCCCCAAAAATAAAAAACTAAGGAACACCCTGGTAATCAACCATTCATCTGGACGGTATGCACATGAGCATACAAGTAATTGCAGTTGTTTCTTGGTTTTTATACAGGTGTGCATGTTATGCACATGTGCATACTGGGCAAATTGCTTACAAATTACTTGTATGCACATGTGCATACCGTTGAGATGAACGATTACCAGGGTGTTCCTCAGTTTTTCATTTTTTTGGGTTTTCCCCTGAACTTGACCAGAATATATAGCAGATTACATGAAGTTAATTACAGAAAGAATCAAAAGCATTTACAACTATATCAAAACTAAAGAATCCTAGCTTGTAACTGATCCTAAAAATCAGCTATGAATATCATTGATTTGATGAAGGAGATTTGATATGGCATGGTAGAGAATCAATTGCTTTAACATCCCCCTGCAATGCACAAGTTTGGTATATAGAAACTGATGACGATGTTTATGGAGTGGCTTGGTAAGAAAATTAGCTGGCTGGTCCTTTGCATTAATGTAACAAACCCTATGGCTGCCTCGGGCTACCTTCTCACGAATATAATGATAATCAAGCTCAATATGCTTGGTGTGTGCATGAAAAATGGGATTTGAGGCCATGTAGGTTGTGCCTATATCTTCATAATGCAACAGAACAGGATACTGAATACGAGCACCAAGTTCTTACAATAAATAGCCTAACCAAGTTGTCTCTACACTTGCATGAGCCAAATAGTGGTAGTCAAATTATGTGCTGGACCGTGCTATAGTGGGCTGCTTCTTTGAGCACTATGAGATGAGATTAGAGCCAAGGTACACAAGGTAGCTTATCATGAAATAGATCGCCTTGTAGTTAGACAACCAGCCCAATCAGCATCGAAGTAGGCCGATAGTTGAACCGGTTGCTGTTGGGGGGTAATCAATAAGCCATGGCCAAGAGTGCCTTCAATGTAGAGTAGAATCCGCTTGGCAGTAACTAAATGAGGGACACGGGGCTAGCTAATAAACTGAGATACCATGTTGATTGCAAATATGATGTCAAGACAAGTGATGTTGAGGTATTGCAAAGACCCAACAATCTCACGGAAAACGGTAGGGCTCTCAATCAAAGGTCCATCAGCGGCAGTGAGAAATAAACAAGATTGTCTTTAATAAATTGAGCAACCGGAAACAAATTTTTACGAACATAAGGGATTCACAAAACTTGCTCTATAGAGAATTTGCTTTTGCCCAGGAAAATAGGAAGTTTACCATAGTGAGAAACAGACATAGAATTGCTGTTTCCAGTGTAAGCATTGTGAGGTCCGCCATAAATATGTGCATTCTGGAGAGGCATGGCGGTCATGTGATCGGTAGCACCCGTATCCAGATACCAATTATCGTTGCCAAACGAATGAGGACCCGCAAAGACAAAGCAACAAAGCAATGTGGGCATTGGTGAGGCCCAGTATTGCAATGGAAACACCATTGTGGGCCTTGGGGGTGGAAGCTGTCGAAGAATACCATTGGACCAAGGAGAATGAGTGGCCCATGGTTAGGGAACATTGTTGCAAAAGAATTGACCCTGATTATTTGGGTAAACACGGCCTCCTCGACCACGACCACGGCCACGAAAATCACGGCAATTTCCAGCACTACCAGAGCCACAAGACTGCCAACCATCTTAGAGGATTGAGCTGTTGGCGACGCAGATCGGAAAAGAGCTGTGGTTGTGACATCTGAACAACGATTATATTCGTCAAAGGATAGAATGTGGCCGTGGTAGCTCAACAAAGACTGGAAGTAGGTCAGATTGAGCAATCATTGTCCTTAACATGAGGTAGTCTTGACCAAGATCTGTGAGAGTAGCAACCACAAAATCTTTTCCTAAAACAGGTTCATTAATGGCTTCAAGAGAATCGACTAATGAATTTGCATGCTCTAGATATTTATCAACAGATTGGGATCCTTTTTGAAGATCAAAGAGCTGGAGGTGAAGACTGGTAGAACTAGCTACATATTGTTGAGCATAATGTTGGGCAAGACGATCCCAGATACCTTTGGAAGTATCAAAACCAATGGCGAGTCTGGTGACCTTCTCAGTGGGTGAGGTGTTGAGAATGCTTACGATCTGTTGGTCGGTGGTGAGTGAAGCATCATATTTGGGGTTGTCTGCAATTTGGGCAGGAGTGTCACCATCGGCTGGAGTGGTGATAGTTGCAGGAGGGATTGGGATGGAACCATCAATGTAGCCCCAAAGTTTGGCACCACAAAGGTATAGCTTGAGTTGGAGGATCCAGAGGAGATAATTGCTTTCGTTCAATTTTATGAACTGGGAAGTATTTTGATGTGATGTGGTGTGGGTGGGCTGTCACGAGGGTGGGCAGGAAGAAGAGAGGACACAGATTTTACAGAGAGAAAAAGAAACAGGTGAATCCTAGACCTAAAGTTGTGATACCATGAAGAAAATGATTTTTATTGATTTGTACAATCGCACTCAATAGAACATACATAGCAGATTACAGAAAGAATCAAAAGCATTTACAACTATATCATAACTGAAAATCCTAGCTTGTAACTGATTCTAAAAATCTGCTATGAATATCATTGCTTTTATGGAGATTGATATGGTGTGGTAGAGAATCAACTGCTTTAACATACCTGATCATACACATGTGAAGCTTTGTCCAATCGTTTGCGTGATTCCTGAGAAAAACAAGATGGAATATATGGTCTACTGTAAGATGGAGAACTAGAATTAAGAATGTATCAAGAAAATAAAAACAGGGATTGAAATAATTAACTTTTTGTTGTTATAACTACAAGTAGAAAGATATGTTGTGGCACATGTATGTAAACGGATTTCCCTTCGTGAATAAATCATAAGAAAATCGTCCCAATCTGCAAGTGTTTCAAAATACAAACTAGGATAGACTTGGATCGTGTATTATATATGCTTAATTTGTGCTCTTTGGGACAGAAAAAGGGAGAGATAGGTCCTTTAAGCACATATTGTCCACCAAATACTTTTTATAGATGTAAGAAGCCCTTCATTCAATTACATTTATCACAAAAAAAAATTGACAGCATCAACCCTGAAGCCATCGAGTTGCGTAATGAGCTCTGAGAATGGAGACATCTTTACATACCATATTAGTAAGCGGCCTAGAAACTTCAAAAGAACGCAACCAAATATGAGCAGAAGTTCAGAATATTTATACAAGAACCTTAAATACTTCTATGCTCACAAAACTAAACATTTTACATCTGGTTTTCCAGTAAATGAATGTTAATCTGTTCCCATATTAAAGTTTGGACAACTTTGTTGTACATAAATTTGTGTTACTTTGACTTGTACACTTCTAATGGTTTCAGCTCTCTAGTAATTGTATGCAACAACTTGGTAAAATCCATATTTGCCTCAATATTATAGCAAGTAAAAAAATTAAAGGAGAAGATAACCTTTGCGTCTTGCAGATCATTGGTCAAAAACTGATTCAAACGATCCACAAGTAAATGATCAACCTGCAAATATAATACAAAATTGCTTCTTAGATGCAAGAGTTTGAAGTTAGTTCTTGATGCCCGTTGTTATGGATGTGGCTATGAAGTCGATACACCAAAAGGTGGGCAACTAATGTGAAAGGACTTGTAGCCATTTCAAGTTCATACACTCTACACCTCCTGTCAAAATTAGTATAACAGATGATGTAGACTAAACTCTGGTATATCTATATGGTATTATAGATTTATCAAATATCCAAGATTGCCGAAAGAACTTACATAAGATGAGTAATATGAGTAGCTAATCATTGTTCTTTCTATTTCTTTTCTTTTCTGATATGCTATTACCATCCTAAATATGTAAATTGACTTTGGCAGGAGAATTTTGCCTTTTGAAAATGCCTCAATTAATTCTTCACAGCTGCAAATTAGAAACTGTTTTAATTGTTGGAAACTTATTCCTCTTCTATATTAATTACAAGGTATCGTCCACAACTATAGATCTTACTCTGCTTTAACCCCTCTCTCTCCTCCATCTCTCAATTAATCACATATAATGAATGCAAAAAGATTGGATCATGCCCACTGTTACTCGTGAACTCTACCAAGTCTGTTGAGAAGTTAGGTTATGGATGGTAATATTAGACAAAATCTTATTCTACATCATTCAACATGATAGAATATATATTTCATCATCGTCCTCGGTAATATTCATTATGTTCAAGTTTCAACAATAAAATATTTCGAGCACAACCATAGATTGTATTAAGGAGAAGCTCCATTGGCGTTGTGTGTAGTTTCTTGCATAGCGGATACCTAAAAATCTATTGATGGACATAATGTTTTGCTTCTATGTATGAATCACTCTATCATTTTGAGAATCATTTTGGTATTGAAGTGACTTAAAAAGTTAATTTCAATCAAACAGGACCCTCTCATACCCTCAGAATGGAACCCTAGAGCCACCACAAGGTTGAAATAGACTGCTCCTTGAGGTTAGCGATTAGACACCTTTGCCTAGATCTCTGCACATTTAACCCTCTTTGAGGTTGGAGATGGGGAACGCTTTTCATATTTATATGTGTATGAAAAGGTAACTGGTAAAATAGTAACAAGTAAAGAAACTACTAGCAGCCTCCCTATATACATATGTGTTCGAAAAAATGGAGGTCCCATGACAATAAGATCTCTTTGAAAAGACAAAGGATGAGATGGAACGGGAGCACCATAAAAGGTAACTTAGATGTATGAGTGATGAAGGAAAATAGTAATGTAACTTCTTTTAATGGTTTGCCTATTACATGTGTATATGATCTTGTACAACACATGGTAGCTACAAGCAGCTGGATGCAGATAAAATCATAATGAAATAAAGAGAGAAACTAAATAACCACTGCTTTAAGTCATCACTATAAATCCCATTTTCTTAAACACTTCGGTCCTCAAATACTGACAGTCAAAAGCAATATTCCTTTGGTTCTTCTCACGAGATTTCTGATACGTTGTCATGATAGCAAATGGGATTAAAAGTAGGAATTATGCATTAATACTAAGAGCAGTAACTATACTTATAGAACAATAATGAGTATATAGCAAGTATATTACTACAAGTAACATGAAAAGAATCTCAACTGGGAGAACTACATTATTCACTAAATACATACAGACAATTGTGCTGCAAAACTAAATAAGTTGACTCGTAATGAGTGAAAACAAGTGATGAAATGCAGGAAGCATACCATGAATTAATGGAACTAACTATCCACAAAAGGTCCATAGAGCACACATGTTCTTAGTAGCAATCAGATTCTTTAAAAGGTTTTCACATAGAAAGAACAAGTAATCATCATGTCGTGAAATTCAATTCGCCATAAATGATTATTAGCTTTAAATGCAATTTGTACACTTACTTGGGAACGAAGAAGCTCCTTAAACGTTTCAATCTCGCGAAAAGCAGTAACAAACTTCGTCATTATTGGACCTTCTCAAATATAAAACAAGAAAGGAGTAACTTCTCATGTGCATTTGTTAAATCAAAAATATACAATTTTTTGCATCGAAGAAGATCAAGGAAATGAGAAATAACTTATATTTAACATAGCTCACAACAATAATCCCCGCAACCACAGTTTCATTTATCAAGGACAACTTACATAAATAAATAGCAGAAAACATATACATGAAAAGCAAAAGCACAATAAACAGACATGTCTGAATATTGCCCAACTATCACACAATCAAAAAAAATCCCTTGTTGTAATCTAGCAACTATGTATTTGGTAGAAGCAACCACTGCTTGACCGTGCATTAGTATCACCACAAAATGATACTTCTCGTTTGGACACGGGAGACAGAGAGGATTAAATAAGGTTGGTTACCATTAAACTAACCTCCAATAGATACACTGACAGGGTCATCTTGACCACCACCAAATGCCTCCAATGATTCTGCAAATATATAGTCCATATTGCATGCTTCTCCAAGACCATCCCTGTGGAAAAAATGAGATAATTGAGAGAGATCCAAGGGCACATTTACCCATGGATCTTGACTAGATGCCAACAAGAGATCACAAACTTGAAGAAAGGGTAGGTCCTTTACACAATCTTTTAAACACAAATCTTTGTATTGAAATAAGAGGCATGGCTTCCATGTTATAAGGTCACAACTCTCTTTACTAGGGCAAACCAACAGCAGATAGGAATTCTTTCATTGCAAGTGTATGAGAACCCGAAATTCAACTATAAGAATATATGAAATCTAGAAGCCTCATATCAGATGCAACACATACCGCGCTAAAAGAAACCTAGCTTTCTCGGCCTTCTTGGCCTGTTTAAATAGTTACCATTTTACCACTTTTTACTATGACGAACCATTGAAATGATGAATAACAATAGTGTTTACAGCTGGTTTAATAACAGACAAAATTCAATGCTACAAAACTTTAGTTGTTCTTACGACATGATCATCAAATAAATTGTGTATGAAATTTGGAATGCTGAAATAGTAGCATCAATAGTCAAAGTGCAAGCATTACACTTGGAATCACAAACTTCTAAGATGAGGTCACTCCATCAACCTAGAAAGAAATATAGCCAGATCTATAGATGATATCATTACAATAAGTCGAGTATGGTAGTACTGTCTTAGTATTAATTTATTGTAACTTGTAGTTTTTGTCCTGGCCCACCAGTTTGCTACATGGTTGCATTATTCTCAGGAGCACATCAAACCCTAAATTCTGTCAATAATTGACTCATAAACTGATAATGGGGTACTCAAATAATGAGAATATCTTATTAGTAACCAACAGAAACTAATTCTTATGCATTAATAGGACCAATAATTTGAAAACAGCTTCATGGAGTAGGATAAGAGACTATAAAACCAGCAAAGGAAAAAAGAGATCAGTGAAATTGCAACTGCTAACTTACATGTACTTTTTGCTCCCCTTGTGTAGTTTTTGACAACGTAGTTTTAGCTCATCCGTTGTTTGTTCAAGATAACGCACCTGTCCAAAAATGGCACTTGTTAAGAAAATAGACAGTGCATGTAGTACCAAAAGCAAGCTCCAGAACACAGACTATTGTATTTAGCAACCATTAAGACGAGAAGAAACTTCAAACATTTAGCAACCTTAATCGTGCATGTGTCCTATGTAATGATAGAGCTGTATAATACTTCTTTTACGATGATGGGGCCTTAGAGGACATTAGTTTTAACATACAGTTGAGACGATTATGAAAAAGGTAAAACTAAAATCTTACCATGTTGGAAAGGGGACCCTCTAAGTAGGACAGCTCAAATTGGAATGAGAGACCTTATTATGGAATGCAGTAGATATATAAATCAGAGAAACTAAAGAAATGACACCATAACATATCAAACTCCAAATTTCGAAAGGAAGAAGCTGACCAAAGATGCAACATTATGTTAGGCTCAACATGCAAAAAGGAAATCGAACTTCCCATATTCCTCTGATCGAATTGGACATCTTTAGAACCATCAGTCTTTACCAACAGAATAATGAGCGAAAAGGAAAGAAAAAAAGTCCAATCTAAACCAAGAAACAACCAACAGGAGTCTGGAGTTCACGGCAGACAAAAGATTGGCAAAGCAAGCCAAATGTTTCCTCCATCTTTCCATAGTCATTAAAAACACAAAACTAGTGATATCATTTAAGGGAAGTTATAAACCACAATTCTAAGGGGGAAATAAAGTAACATACAGATAACTGAATTCAGTCTTCATGGACAAGTGGTCAATAGAAAAGTTTGCACGGCACAATTAAGCAGATGATGGATGCTACAACCAGAATAAAAAAATTCTCAATCGTTTATTCCATTATTTCAGATCACCATATTACTTCACTCACTGAATTCGGTACCTTGGGCCATCAAGAATCTTTGATATCTAACACCAAGTTACCATTTCTTTTGCTATCGAAATATTAGAATAAGTGCTCAAATATTATAGAATCCATGCTGTTTTTTTACTCATCTTGACATATTTTTACACTTCTCAAGAGACCAAAGTATAACCCTTCATAAATAGTCCCCCCCAAAGAAAAAAAAGTTGCAAGTTCTACAATACAGTGAAGCATTTCAGATTTTGAAGACTCAAATAACGTAACATTTCCATGATTATATCTTCTCTTTATACAATTTTCATTACGAACTACCCTTCACATAACGTTCGATCTAGGTTTCCCTAAATCACTAGAGTATCAACCAAATTCAACTCAATAAACAATTGCTACGCTAAGCATTCCACGTGCTTCCTCAATGCAAAACCACGCATACAATAATCGTGTATGTAGATTAAGATCGAAGCAAAAACCCAGAACTTGAAGTTGCATTATTATAAAAAAAGAAGAAAGAGAAAAGCACCTGCTTCTGGAACATGGGAGAATCATCGAGCTTGATAAAAGCAGTCATGGGGCTGCCTTTTTCTGTTCGGGTACGAGGAAGAACCTTAGATAAATCTGGGAAATCCGAATAATGGACTCCTTCGCGTTCTTGAGCTTTTGGGTCAGATCGCGGGAAGCTCATATTATTTTACTATTAATCAATAAAATAATGATATCAACGCCGACGATGGTAGTAATGAAATCAATAAGTGGGGCCCAATCGTGTTTAGGTTTTTTCTTGAAATCAGTCAGCACGGTGAAAACGAAAACAAGATCACCAAATATTGTTGTCTTCCCCTTTCCATGTGTGATCTTGTTTCAAGATTTTTGAGGTGAAAGGTAAAGATTTATTGATTCCTTTTCTAATTGGGAAAAGTCTAAAAAAATCCAATAGATTTTAGTGTTTGGAATGATTAAGTATTTTGATAATTTTTTAGAACAAAAAAGTTTTTGAATATTCCAAAACATGTTAAATAACTCATTGGACAATTTTTTGGAACAAATAAGTCCTTGGACAATTTAAAACATGTTAAATAACTCATTGGACAATTTTTTGAAACAAATAAATCCTTGAACAATTTAAAACATGTTAAATAACTCATTGGACAATTTTTGGAACAAATAAGTCATAAAACAATCCAAAACATGTTACATAACTCCTTGGACTTTTCTAAAACCTGTTGGATATATTTTTATGACTTATACAACTAGTTAAAGTGGTAAAATAGTGGAAAAAAATCCAAAAAAACCCAATTAACATTCATATTTTAAACGATTAAGTCAAAGTCAAAATACTTATATTTACAAAAAAATAATTACATTTAAAAAAGATTTTTGATAAAATTTATTTTAATTAAAACAAAAATATATTCTGTCAGTAATTTTTTAAACTAAAAAAAATTAAAAAAAATTATTATTAAATTTATTTTAATTAAAAATAAAATTTATCATGTATGTGATTTTTAAATTAAAAAATATTTAAAAAAATTACTGTTGAAATTTATTTTAATTAAAATTAAAATATATTTTATCAGTAATTTAAAAAACAAAATTAAAAAAAATTATTATTAAATTTATTTTAATTAAAAATATATGTATGTAATTTTTTAAATTAAAAAAAAGATTTAAAAAGATTACTAATGAAATTTATTTTAATTAAAACTAATATATTTTTATTTTTAATTAAAATAAATTTCATCAATAATTATTTTTAAATTTTTGTTTTTTTTAATTTCAAAAATCATATACGTAATATATTTTATTTTTAATTAAAATAAATTTCACCAGTAATCTTTTTAAATATTTTTTTAATTTAAAAAATCACATACGCGATATTTTTTATTTTTAAATAAAATAAATTTAATCAATAATTCTTTATAATTTTTTTTATTTTTTTTTGTAAATTTAAGTATTTTTTTTTGTAAATGTAAGTACTTTTTTTGTTATATTTGTTTAATTTTATAGATCTAAATATTTTTTGGTTCAAAAAATGTTTAGGGACTTAATCGTTCAAAATATGAACGTTCATTGGGGCTTTTTTCGGACTTTTTTCATTATTTTACCACATTAACTAGTTGTACAAGTCATAAGAATGTATTCAACAGGTTTTAAAAAAGTCCAAGGAGTTATTTAACATGTTTTGGATTGTCCAATGACTTATTTGTTTCAAAAAATTGTCCAATGGGTTATTTAACATGTTTTAAATTGCCCAATGACTTATTTGTTCCAAAAAATTGTTCAAGTACTTAATCATTCCAAACACTAAAGTCCATTGAGTTTTTTTTAGACTTTTCTCTTCCTAATTTGTGTGTGCGCTTCAAAATAGTTTTTTTTAAGTAGCTGTATCAAAATGAAACCAACTTTTACCTGATTCTTATTTTTGAGAACTAACTTATAAAATAAGTATAAAAAAATCACTAAAATTCGTTTTTTTTTTCAAAAATTAATGCAATAAAATATATTTTTCATTTCAAATCTCCTTTTTTTTAAAATTCAGATATTAAATTGAAGATTTAAAAAAAATCCAAATTACCACAATAAAAATTGTTTTTTACTAATGCAAAAAAATCAATTTAATAGAAAAAAATCAATTGATGCAATAAAAAAATAAATATTAAATATCACATTCAAGATTTTTATATCTTACCAATTCGTAACAATATTAAAGTTTAAATCAAATTTGGCAAATCAAACCAAAAGTTTGATAGAGACCCTTAAATTACCTGTTACTTGTTCAACAGATCAACCAGACCCTTAAATAAACAAAAAGTTTGATAAAGACTCCTAAATAATGATTTTGAAAGTTGGTTCCCTAAAATAAGAATCAGGTGAAAGTTGGTTCCATTTTGATGCAATTTTCCCTTGGTAAATCATTGAAATTTAACAAGGATTTGGTTCTATTATCACTTGATACATAAACCCTTTCCATATACTTTGGTGGATGTTACGCTGTTAATAATTTAACATTGTTATAGTGCTGATAAAATAACGGATAGCGGTCCAGATCAAACTAACAATGTATTATAGTGGTACCACAAATAACGATAGTTGTTACCGCTAATGACCATGCTATTTTGATACCACAGTAATAGCTATTACCGATTTTCCTTTTGAGCTCTTTTAAACTCCTTTTTTTAATTTAAATTCTATTTGTGCTTTTGTTCTATCATTTATGTGAGCTATTTGCAACCAAACTTAGCCATGCAAACAAAAAAGAAACCGATTAAATCAAAAATAGAAACAATTAGGTCAAATTTTGGTATCGATTCCTAGTCCAAATCTCTTCTCATCGATTCCAAGTCCAAAAAGCTTCAACAACTCGAGTTTTCTTCTTGATTCCACGGTTCCAACGGTTTTCTGCTTGAGTTTTCTTGTCTCGACAACATAGCTCCTATTACTATGTTGCTTACGTTGTTACTATGTTGCTTGTGTGGTTTGAATTGTTTGACTCGTTATGTATTAGACATACAATATTTTAAGTTTTATATGCATTTGTATTTATTTATTTGAAATACAAAAGATATTGAGCCTAGACAATTTTATTGAACTAAACTCACAACAAAACGTTGCAAATTCGATATTTTCTCTAGAGACACCGTAGAACCGTCACATATTTTTAAAACCAAAGAACATTTAATCTATTTCACATTCCATTTCTCGTTCCAGTTTCACCGACATCAAAAGGAAAGCGAAATACTAATTACTCGACTTCTTGTAGGTAGTCTTCAACTTCGGCCGGTGTTAAGACTCTGCAACATTGAAACAACGCGGTTTTAGGAGCTCAGTCAATGCTAGGTGTGTACCCATGTGATGAAGCGTGATGCAAAATTGTAAACAGAGAACAAAAATTAATGCAACCCATTAAATATGTCTGAAACTTGTGTTTGAACAAGATGGGAACTACATTCATCTATACTCATATACATTTATACATAAATAGTTAAATGTGCTTAAACTGTTTTGATTTTATTTCTTTTAGAAGGATCAATGGTGAGATGGGAAACTCTTTAATGCATTAGCGATTTGTATCAAGGGTTTGTTTGGTTGGTTTCCATTAAAATTGTTTTGATTCTATTTCTTTTAGAAGGATTAATGGTGAGATAGGGAACTCTTTAATGCATTAATAATTTGTACTAAAGGATTGTTTGGTTGGTTTCCATTAAGTTCTATATAGATAAAGTTGCTTGTGTGGATTAACCTAGTTGTTTGGGAGGGTTTTTACATAGATGGAGGGAGTGTATTTTATAATTGGATGGGGCATATTTGGAAGAAAAAAAAACTTGGGGGTGTTTAGGATTGCTTATTTAAAACAACTTATGTTTTTTTTGTAAAAGTGCTTATTAACTTATATGGTATCAAAACAGAGTTTTGTAAAAAGTGTTTGGATTAGCTTATAGTGGTACCAAAAAACAATAAGCTGATAAGTTATTTTTTAGTGTTTGGCAAATTTTGTTTATATATGTAAAATGACCAAATAAGACAATCTTCCATATTATTGACAAAAATTTATATTAATAAGATTAATAATTTATATCAATAAGATTAATAATTAACAAACATTAATAAAACAAGGTTAAAATGGTAAACTGGTAATAAGCAGTTTTTCATAAGTCAAGAAGGATTAACTTATCAAAAACTGCTTATTACCGGTTTGACACCGATATAAGCAGTTTTATTTTACCTCATCCAAACATTGGCATTTAACTTATCACCGGTGCCAGACTGAAACAAGTCAAAAAAACACCTAAAATAAGCAATCCCAAACATCCCCTTGGTTTTCTGCATAAAACTCCCCTGGTTTCTATATCATTAAGCCACAACTACGTTGACCGAATAAGCTATGAGTTTCATTAAGCTCATTAAGTTGCTAACAAATAGGTCCAGAATGTTTCATAGATTTTAAACTTGAAATTTAAGAGTTTTATCTAAATACTTTATAAGATAGTATAGATAATCAAAGGTTATTAGCAGCATAAGGTATGTAATCTGAAAATTACGACATTTCCCTTCATCTTTCTTGGGGATGTTTCTAGTTAAAATTATCTATTTAGACATAACCATTGTTATTTATTTGGATTCATAAGATTCTTTTATTTGTATTTATGGAAGGGTATTTTGGGTATTTTACACATGGTCAAACATTTTACTTAAAAGTACATGCCAATGACAATTTTAAATTAGATCAAATGGCTTCTAAAATGCATGCCAGATAGTAAACCTTATAATTAAAGGGGAGGAAAAACATTGAATACAGCTGTATGCTAAAAGGTAAACTTGCCTGAATGTTTTGTCGGCACCAATAATCCCGATCTCGATGTTTTTGCCAGAGATTTGTCCTTCAAATCTGTGATAAAACACGAATCTTCCTTAAAAAGAATCTACCATTGAACTAAATACTATCCCGTATACATGCAACAAACTGAGAATTCATGCAATATGTCGAATTATACAACAGCTAGGAACTAGAGAACTAGGTTATGCCATTTCTTCAAAACATTTGACAAGAATTACACACGAAAATGATCTGACGACTAATTATGTCTTTCACATTAATAAGAAGCATTATACCAATAGATACACTTAAACAAGCAAGAAGCTTACCCTTCCTTCAATGTCAAAATTGCCGTGTGGACTGCATCGTCAAGTTCCATATCATCAGTGTACCTACAAGAAACATCTATCTTTATTAGCTGCTAAAACACCCATTAAACAAAACCACAAGGGTTGTGGCATAGTGGTTGAGATCCTGGGGGATGCGGTGGAATATCCCATCTGTCCAGGGTTCGATTCCAGGTATACACAACAATTGTGGCCACTGAGTTTATCAGGGCTGATTTCTTGCAGTCACAATTTACCGAGATTAGTCCAGTGGCCACTGGGACACCCTTTCAAAAAAAACACCCATGAAACAAGCCAGAAAACTCAACATGTAGATTGACTGGAAATAGATCAGGCAAGTAGCAACATAAACTTTGGTGGTGCATTTTCTACATTAAAAACGGAAAATGTTGAGCAGAGCATAGGAATGGCAAAAATCACAAAAGTTGATGGCTCTCAACTTTGTAGTCGCAGACAAGAAAACAGACAAGCATATTGGGAGTCTCGAAGGTCAAACCCTACTATCGAATAAAATTTATAAAAACAAACAAATGAATCTAATTCATCCTCCATGGTAGATTACTATAAAGGAATAAATAAATGAACCTAAGAAAGAAACCTATCTTCACAAGAAAAGGATGGAGCATAAAGAAGATGGAGGTGTTATGTTATGATGATGAGAGAGATGACGAGATGGATGATGATGATGATGATGATGGTTACAAGGAATAGTCAAAATACACATAATGAAACAAAGAACTAAGGTTGCTATCTGGTCCCCTGAAAGTCAACATGTAATCATATGTACTAACACAAAAAAAATTAAATAAATGTTTTAATTTAATCAGCCAAATTTATAAAACTGCACAGAAGAAAAAGACGTCCAATCAAAAGTTAATATCCATCTGAAAACTGATAATGCTATACCTCTTTTCCAGAAATGTCTTAGCATTAGACACATTCTTTCCCATAGCCGAAGCTTTCCAGGAGAAGTATGAACCTGAGGGATCCACCTGTAATATACAGATTTAAATTTCTAGTGAAGTCATAATCTGGAGATCATCAAAAAGCCAATGGCATATGATGCAGAAAAATGTATTGGTAGATACCAACTACAACAGTAAAACATAGGAAAGAATGTTGAACTGATCTATAGAATAAAACGAATTAGTAAAACATGAGCCTCGTATTATATATCACGAACAAAGGTCACTAATATAAGCTTCATAAAAGATATCTTTAACAGTGAGTAAGCATGTAGCAAACATCAAAATGACCATTAATCCTGCTGAGAGGAAGCACATCTACCAAGTTAGATGGTTGCCATAGATTAGCTCTTCAAAAAGCTTGCTTTTGGTTTATTATAAAAAAGGACAGCAATTAACTTTTTGAAACAATTGAAATCATGAAAAAGATCAACTATAATTAGTCAAACATGCTGCAGGCATTAGATTTTAGTAAAGAAGCAATAGTGCTGACAAATCCAAGATGAGCATCATATCGGGTCACATACCTGATATAGTTGAGGACCTTTGTCGTCAAATCCAGCAACAAGGAGTGAAACACCAAAAGGTCTTACACCACTACAAGAATAGGTATATAGATTAGACCTTCATGTTCTTAATTCAACAAGCAAGACTCCAGGTTCCGACACAAAAAGAATAAAATGTTTGTCAATTCAGTGTTGCCAACACTTCTCTCCTTAATTCAAGAAGAGCAAAGATAATTCTATGGGGCCATCACCAAATGGCATTGGGTTCCTGAATATGTTTTACTGGAGTGAGGTCTCCTGAGTAACTAAATCTTGCCAAGTTTTACTCAGTTTGTTTAGGTGTTATGAGCATATCTTGCTTAAAGAGAATCTACTGTTCAGGTTAATCTGGTATTTCCAGTTCTGGTTGTTTAAACCATATTGGTTACGATGAATCAACCAAGTTTGCCTGCTCTTTCTGTCGGCTTACGATTTCCTATACCCTTATAAGATGTCTACTCTAAGAGAGCTTTTGTTTTGTATGCTTTGGTCATGTCATTCTTTGAATATGTAAAAGATCAGATACACTTTGTGTTTTACTACATCTCGTTTAAAGAACAATAAGCCAAACATCAAAACACAATAGATGCTCAGACAGATAATGTTGTTTATGTTCTACAAGAACGTCATTTAAAAAAAAACCTGCTAACCCTGACTGAGTAAATTCTTGCATAACAGCGGCAGTTTCCTTTACAAGTTGTGTAACTGGGATTGGTTCCTGCAAATACCAGTATCACAACCTTTAAGCAACTTAAAAGAGCCTTTGAACTTAAGCCCAACCTCAACAGTCAAATGGAAGTAAATATAGAGGTATAAGAGCTCCTAAAACGCGAACCACTGTCTGGAAGAGAAGGGGCTTTTAAGGGCTTTTTTGTATTTTGGAATAGATTCCAATGGAATGGATTTGAATTCCTTCCTCAACATGAAGGATTGAACAATTCTGTGGATGGTGGAATTCAAAGGATTTTAGAGATTCCTTCCCTTAGAAAGAACCAACCAAACATAACGTTGGTCGGTCAATGGAATTGATCATTCCAATTCAGACCAATTCCATCGGAATCTCATGAACCAAATGTACCATATAGGTAGTAAGCCATTCTATGAACAGCAACAAATCCACTCTTGATACTGGTCTTAGATGATAGACCTCAATCAAATGGAGTGCAAGTGATTCCTAGTTGCTACCCAGACTAATGATAGTCAAGACATTCACTCATTATAGTAGTGTTGACGACATTGAAACAGCTTTCAGTTGTCACATACTCACATATAAATACTAAACATTTCTTTTTTAACAACATATAGCTTCAGTTTTCCTGCTGGACATCTGGTATTATTTAATAGCACAGGATACAGTTACAACATAAACTGGAGGACACAATCAAATAATAAATTCCTTATTTCTCTGAATAAGTCATTTAGAACTGTAACAATTCCTTGAAGAGTTGAAAATGTAGCACATAGCAAATGCATGCAGAAAATCAGGCATAACAAGAGTGAAAAATAGTACTTTGTATAGTCTGTTATACTGTTCTGCTTGCTTCCGACTCTTTCTGACCAGAACTCGAGAATCAGGCCCCATGCCACTGCACAGAAGTGAAATGTCAAGGACAAGCATAAACTACAGTTTGCCTCTGGAGCACATAATACGCATATGTGTCTGTCAGTCTTGATTATGTACACAAGCGAAGAGTAGCATTAACTATGCACAAACTAAGTGGTACAAACTGCTATGAACTACCATCTAGTCAAGGACTGACCAAAAAGAAAATCAAACCCAGTTGGTAAAAACATTTGTTGCTAAAAGCACTTAGTTTTAGAAAATTTATGAAACCCTACACGGCTACACCTTTAAAACATAAAATAAATAAATATTCCTTGATGCTCTTCATAAAGCTTTCCAACAGATGTGGGTGCATGTGTGTAAGTGTGTGTATACAACAAAAATTATTTGAGGCAGCCAGACATGAAAGCATACCTATATACCACTCCGATATTAGGAGTTAAAATCTGAATCTTTTGCACCTGAAATCGAAAAAACCGGATATCAGAATCGAATAATGAACCATCTCTTTTTGGTTTTACTAGAAAAGAAAAATCAAAGAGGAAAAATGCTATCGAAACAAGACACCAACAAGTAGACCGGTACTTGCGTCAGAAGAATAGCCAAATAAGCAAGCAAATGAAATGTAAAGGTGCATGTTATATCATGCAAGACAACGCCAGGACAGAAGTGAAAAAATAACGGAAGCTTCCTTCAGATTTGAACTTTGGAGTCTCGATAACAAAAATTCATCCATGAGTCCGGTTCTCACCTTTACCATTCAAAGTTTGTATATCCTAAAGTAAGTAATTGTGGAATCTAAATTTTCAGCTTAGTATTGGATTCAAACTTCTATGAATTGGAGAAGATTGCCTACAGAATAACATTCATTACGTCACTGCTCCAAGCATTACCCATCTGGTATTATATGATGCTATTTTCAACTATGATTCTCCTATTTGCATTTATGATGCTATTTTCAACTATGATTCTCCTAGTTGCATTTATGATGCTATTTTCAACTATGATTCTCCTAGTTGCATTTCTCACAAACAGAAATCCACAAATAAATAGTGTAACCTTCACCAGATATTCGTTACAATTGCTCGTTACATTCAAGCCACAAATATTATCAGTAATGACCTGTTTTCCAAATATTACTGCAATCAGCATATCAGCTCTTTAGTAACAAATAGCTAGCATGCCCAACACCTCTACGTGTGTCAATGGCTTGTGCTTTACTTGCACGTGTAAGCCAGTCAGCAGGACTATAAACAACTTTTTCCAAGAAAGTGGTGCACTTTATAAGTAAATAAACTATTCGGAAAAGAATATCCTCGGTTTATTGCTTGGATGAATTAAATTTCAGCATGTCGACGATGTTCAATCCCTGGGGCACCTCGTAGAGATTTTAAATAAACTAAGAGGAGGCAGCGAGTAGAATTACTGTTATGTTCTCTTTCATTCGTCCACTTTCAGGTTTCAACTACCAATCTTTGATTCTACAAACCCGTGCTTATTAAGTACCATACAGCTACATCTAAAGAGCCAAATATAACCAACCATGATGTTCTATAAGTTAAGTAAAAAAACTGTAAGAACATATATTTTTCTAATAATAGTCCTCGTTTACAGAAAGTAGAACCCATGGTGCATTTGCTACAACAGGAAGGCTGATAACAAAAAGTTTTTTAAGGAGGAAAACTCACTGAACTCTCATCAACCAAAATGGATGGTAATTTCTTTTCCGTTGCAATGACAACACCATTGGCAGCTGCAATCAAACAGGTAAACAAGTAACCAATAGAACAACAATGTTAATGAATGAGAAACTGCGTCAGCAGACCTTGCCAGACCAAAACTACAAACATTGACACCAACAGTTCCAACATAATGGTTAAAGAAATGTTCCTAAATTTTGGAATCATGAGAGGACGAAAATAACTGATCTATACAATGACGTTGTTTTAGTTATTTCACTTGATGATATATCAGATTTAAATAGAGAAACATCTTCCTTTTCTTTTTTTTCCTCAAGCCCCGTGTGCTATTTCAGAATAACCATATAAATAATAACCACAAACACAAGCTCAAATCACCTTTAATTCCCAAAGATGTTTGACCAGAACCAACAGCTGTTAGGGCGTGTTCAATCTGAACAAGCTTCCCAGAAGGACTAACAACAGAAGTAGCTGTAAGATCACGGCTTCTAGTACTTTTGGCATTTCAATTTCAAGTGAAACTAGAGCTGCCCCGAAGAAGAAATAGACAGATAGATTATACCTGAAAGTTGTGAGAGAGAAAGAATACTGACTATCACCCATGTTTTAAATGAGTTCAATAAATCGTCCTGTAGAGAGATCAAAAAATGGCAACCATTGTCATCCTACCGGGTTGTGTCATCATCTGGACATCATAAATCCATCATTCCATAAAGCCAAAATTAACACATAAACTTCGAACAAATTCGCAGATATCATCATACACCATTCCTGATTAGGATTCCAATTCTAGTAATCCACCGAATCGAGGTTTTAACTTTCAACGTTCACATTTTCACAAACAAGCGCATCAAGTAGCAAATTATCAATTAAACGTTCACATATCAAAGTTTTAAACTTTCAAAATGTAAAACCATGTTTGAAGACAGGTATCACCATTTTCATAATTAGAAACTAAATACACAGGGCTGCTGCCATACTTACCTCGTCAGCGCGGTAGCAGAGTGGAGTGCCAGGTTCGGTACGATGGAGTCCGATCGAGGGGAAGTAGCTTGGGGGCGGAGGTTTTGCCTTTTCGTTGCTCTACTTTACGGCCTTTTTCCTGGTATTATATAGGATCTGAAGTTCTTATGTTTACAAAATAAACACTCAACTTTTTAAAATTATGGTTTCTTGCACGTGCTAAATACATTTTTCATTAATGCAAGTCTATGGGGCTGTTTGTTTACATCTGAATGATACCATTAAGAGGTAAGGGTCTGATTCGGTCAGACCTAATCTTGTTTGGCAAGACTTTTAGAAAAGGTCTGAATGATATTTTTCCTCTTAATCGCTCCTTCATCTACCCCAACCCTATACGATTCAGATCTCATTTTTTCCAATATTATCCCTCGCCTTCTCATTCGCCTTCTCATCCTCCAGGTACTGTCCATGTCCATCGATTCGGTCATTCTCTCTTCTCGATTCACCCCTTATCGTTTCCCTCTAGTTGATCGAACCAACAATCGCATCCGTTGAAGAAYCGATTGTAGCACCTGTTGAAGAACCGATTGTAGCACTGTTGAATACACAACGTTCGATTCAAGGTACCATCTCTCAACTTTAGTATGTGTTTAGCGATTCAACTTTCATTTCTATATGTTTAGTGATTTGGGTTCAAACCTGCTATTTTTTTTACTGTTTAGTTGAGCCATGGGTTAAAATGTCTACTGATTCACCTCTTATTATTTCACTG